GGGTTTTTTTTTTTTTTTTTTTCGACCTCCAGCGTTTCCGGCGTGTACTGCAATGTTCCTGCAGCCGCGAGCTCACCCCCCGTCGTTCGAATTCCAGCGGAACGGCCATGTCGTTCAACGGGGATTCAACGGTCATTCAACATTCAACGACGTTGAATCCGTTCAACATCCTTTCAACGGGCGTTCAACGGATTCAACGGGGGTACAACAGGGGGGTCGGGTGTCGAGTTTCGTTTTTTTTTACTCCGCCTGCAGGGCCGCAGGCCCGACGGCTGTTGCGCTCGGCCCATTGAACGTTGTTCGACGGGAAGCTCCCGTTGAATCTTTCAACCCGTTGAATCTTTCAACGGGGTTTCAACAGGGCCTCGGGGCTATTCAACGGGTACAACGACGTTGAAAGAATCTCGTTGGCCGTTGAATGGACACACAACTACCAAGGAAGCACGGAGTAGGTAAAAGGATTATGACTCTCAATATCAGGAATTTCAATCTACGGAATCGAACTGAAAGTTTTATTTGGGAAAAATCAGCATAAGAATTGAGCATAAAAACGGAACAGAGTGCACTACCAAGGAAGCAATCCTGGAAACGAGCATATCTAGAATTCAAGGTTAGAAGGACTAATAGATATTGAACCAGACAAAATTATATGAGAATCACATCGTTAAGAATCTCATCAAGGTCATCACAGAATCACCACTACAAAAGGTGAAGAGGAAGAACACAACTTACCCCCGACATCCCTAAATGCACCCCCCCTCTCTCCAAACCTCACCTCCTCCTTCATCGGCTCTCAAGCAACTCGGCCGCCTGTATTTAACAACTATTCAACCATCCCAAAGAACCGAACGATGAAGATAACAAGACCGCAACTAGGATTACCATCACAACACTCCAAACCACGTCACGAGACTAAAACCGCTGAGCCTGCATCACCGCAGACGTCGCCCGCCTATAGAAGACCTTACTCCCCCACTCCTCCTCCCATTCCTTCCTGTAATACTCTTCCTCTAGCCTACGAAAACCCTGCCTGCCTCCCCTTACTCCCCCCCGTGGCATTCCTCCTCTCCAATGACTCAATGAGACCTTGATGTGAGATACGCTGCCCCCGTGTTCTTCCATTCAAGCAAGCAAGCACATAACAGAAACAGCAAACAGGAGAGCCTGCAGCAACGCCCGGACACCACTACCCTGCTTGTTGCATACTCGTGAAACACAGTCATAACTATGGCACAGATTCCCAGAACTGACCAGATAATACAGAGTTAATACCAATACAGATACAACGGAAAACTTGAGATACATGGACTGACTCTAACCTGACTCAGACTGCAATCGAACATTCTCAATCATACATCAGGGGTGCGAAAGCCCTGGCCTTCGACATAGGCGAATGGCCAGGGTCAGAGATCATCCACGAACGAATGGAGGGAGGAGAGAGACGAAGGGAAGAGGAGAGGGAAGATAACGCCAACTCAATGTTTCCAAAGATAATATCTTTAAATATCAGAGGTAGCGAAAATCCGAAATGTCGCGAACACAGTGTCTCGGATATCGATCTCTCAATGTCAAGTACAGCTTCAGAGGAAAATGAAATCAGATCCCACGAGTAGTCCTCAACCTATAGTCCCAATGTCGTTGTTTCCAATGTCATCAGAATTCGTAACCATCCTTCATACTTCTAGTAGTCCCATAGGAGAAC